GGTGGTTTTGCACGTGTGGTCATCATTCTTCTAAAACTGACCCGGCCGTGGGAAGCAAGTCCCAGATGTCTCAAGGGGGGGGCGCACATACGTTACAGCCTTTCCTCTCCTCTTTCAGACTTTTCGTAAAGAAAAGTTCAGGGTCGATGATGGTAACCGAGGTGACTGACCTTTGGAGTTGTCGGACACACAGGGAAAATATTCCTTTGAATAAGTGCTGTCATATTTCTGAGTTGTAATTAAATCTAATAAACTTACAATTAAATTCGAAATGCTTACCGCGAGTGAGTGTTCTTGCAAGGGAACTTACACAAATGCTAATCACGAAAGAATAATCATTACCAATATAAGAAGTATTCATATTATTAAAATTTTAAACACTCATACACAGTACTTATTAAAATCATAATAAAAAACATGTTGCTATAATATGCTTAAGGTACCATCTTACACATAAAACATTCTTCCCAATATCCTCATTAACGGGTAATACTAATGAATAATAAGACAGATCCATAATAAACCCAAGGTAGAACACATATTAAGCAATTCAATATTATTACATTCCATGTGTGGATCCTTTTAACATACATATCCATTCAAAATTAATTTCAGTATAGTAAGAACATTATTTACCGACAATTACTGATCATTAGCAAATACACATGATGACTTTTATTAACTATTTACATTTAACAATATTCCACAACTAATAATCACGACAAACAACATGACTATCAATCCTAATCATCGATCGCTGATCTGCTGAAACTATCTGCATTTTTATGACTTTTACCCGATCGATGTACAATTCTAAAATTATATGGTTGCAATGCCAAAAGCCCATCGCATTAATCTAGGGTTAGAACTAACGTTTTTATTTAACCATACTAAAGGGTTGTGGTCGGTCATAACTAAAAATGAATTTCCATCTAAATAATAATGTAACCTTTTAATTGCGAACACAATACTAGCACATTCCTTCTCGGTCGTACAATATCGTTTCTCAACATCTGAAAATTTTTTACTCAGATAAAGAATTGGGTGCTCCTCTCCTTGGTCATTTAATTGAGTTAACACCACCCCCATGCCATAATCAGAGGCGTCGGTTTGAACGATAAACTCCCGTTCAAAATTTGGCGAGTACAAGACGGGCTTATCAGTTAGCTTCTTTTTTAAATCTCGGAAAGCATTTTCACAGTCGGTTGTCCAATTAACCTCCCCGCGTCTTGCCTTCCCCTTCAACGCGTCTGTCAACGGTGCGGCTATTACCGGAGAACTGATTTATATATCTTACTGTAGTACCCCGCTAAACCAAGGAACGCTCGTATATGTGTTTTTGTACGAGGGGTAGGGAACTCAAGAACAGACTGAACTTTGACCTCGGAAGGAGTGCGGAACCCCTGACCCACCACATGACCTAAGAATTTGACATTCTGTTGTGCAAACTTACATTTCGAGGGTTTTATGTTAATTGGGATCTCCTTATTCTTTGCAGGACTATGTCCACATGTTTAAGATGTGACTCCCACGTATCCGAAAAGATAGCGATAAGGGACAACGAAATGCTCTAGACCGTTTAGTAATCCTGCCATGAGTTTACTAAAAAAATATGGGGCATTCTTTAATCCGAAACTCATTCTTAAGGGTCTGTAAGTACCAAAACTAGTACAAAAAGCTGCGTATCGTTGTGCAGTTTTACTCAGAGGAATTTGCCAATATCCTTTAGATAAATCTAAAATGGTAATAAATTTAGCGGAGGAGACCTGTTCTACGCGTTCTTCGATGTTGGGTAGAGGAAAGTACTCCGTTCTAATAATTCCGTTTAATTTCCGATAATCGACACAAGGTCGAGGATCCTTGCCAGGTACCTCAACTAAAATCATAGGGGACATATAATCCGATTCTCCTACCTCAATGATTCCTAATTTTAACATTCGATTAATTTCGTTTTTTAAAATTTCATTTTGTCGGTGCGACATTCGGTACGGCTTCGTTCTAATTGGCTTATCATTAATCAACTGGATCTCGTGTACAACCAGATTAGTTAAACCGGGATCATTTGAGAAACATTTAGAATGTTTATTTAGTAATTCGCGCAGCTGATTAACTTGTGTGTCTTGAAGACATTTGTTTAACTCGCTAGCCTGGATGACATCCTCGTAGTTGTCAAAGAGTTCGGCTATTTGAGTAGATTGATTTTGAGATTCGCCCAATCATCTAAGAAATGTTCTCTCATACTAGCATACGCGCGTTTTTTTAGTTGGTCGACAACCATTAAATCTTTAAGGTCCTCAAACGACTCGATCTCTAGGCCGATTAGCCACTCCTCTAAATAGTTAGTCATTTCAAAGGTGAAGTCTTTCCAGGTACTATCCGATTTCTTTTGGTGTTGAACAAATCTCTGGCGAAAGACTTCCGGACTTAACTTAAATCGTTTAAGTAATAGTTTTTTAATATAGTCATAATTTTCTGCTTGTTCCTCCGGTTCGCGAGCAATGAACTGCACGATATCCAAAGGTAACAAACCTAATAAATGCCCTACCCAGTCTGTTTTTTCAATTAAAGCCCTTTTAGCCTGACGTTCAAAAATCAACAAATACAAACTAATATCTGACTGATTTGGATTAAAATCTGGGATTACTTTTCTTAAATTTACATTCGAGGTTACAGAACGGGGATTTATACAGCCGGTTGATTCATTGTTTACACTATGTCCGGATTCTATTTTAAATCTTTCTAGATCAAATTTTAATTGTAATTCCTTCTCTTTCAACGCGTGCTCCGCTAATCTCAAGGTCTCTTCTCTCTCCCTTTCCTCTTCAATTTTCCTATTTGCAATAATAGTCTCAAACAGATTTTTTACGAATTCCTCTTCGTAACCCTCACTGTTAGTGATTGCGTTTTTGATGTTAGGGACAGTCATGTTTGTCGTGACATCTACCCCTAATTCCTCTGCGAGTAATAACATATCTTGCTTTTTCCCTTTTCCGAGAAAAGCCATTTTTGAACAATATCAGCACAATATATTTGTTAAAATTCACACAATATTTACTACTCTCTAGTATCACAATAATACTGGTCCCATGCAAACACAGAAACAAACAAAGAAAAATTTTAACACAGTAAAATAATCAAAACTATCAAGAAACTTAAAAACACAATAAATCTTAAGCTAAAAGTTGCACACAATACTCGTATTTACAATTCTCTAGAACCACAATAACATTGTTCCCATGCAAGAAAAAACACTAAGTATCTCAAAATTTGTAGTAGAAATTTTAGCAAGCAACTAATACAACTCAAGAAATATAACAGTACTCACCCCTTTTGAAGTACTATCTGCTGGAACTTGGGAATACCGAAGATCCGGTTGACATTTCTTGCTTTAAAGATAATTTCAATTTTCACAACACACACAAAAGGATTTTCTTTATTGATGGGATAGCTTATCCACCATCAAATCTCGGCCTTCTGAGTTGCTTTTCTTTTCTCTAAAGGATAGTTTTATCCTTATTTCCAAGCTCATGCGTCTTGAGTTTTCCTACGTGCAGTTTGCAGAGCTCCCGTAATAAACCAGAATCACCAAATCACCTCCTCTCACGGGTCCGGTAATCTCTATTATTTTTTTATTAATCCTTACCGCTGACACCACTTTCGTTAATGCTGTGACGTTTGATTAAATAATGGTAGCGTGTTTGAAATATAATTTACTTTAATTGTCACAGCTATTATTTACATTAATATACAAGTTTCACTATGGGATGATTTTAAAGTCCAAAATAATTTTGTGAGGGAGGGATCTTGGTGTCCGTTCCAGGCGAAGTTTCTCGCTGTTCTCCTTCTCTGCGGTTCACCGACGTCCGCGCGTCCCCTTTCACCCCCCATCCGGTGGAGGCGAAATGTTTCCCTCGGGTCAAAGGTTGCAGGGGCTCATTAAGACACGTCCGTCGCAGTATATTAGCGACTGCAGGTGGTTTTGCACGTGTGGTCATCATTATTCTAAAACTGACCCGGCCGTGGAAAGCAAGTCCCAGATGTCTCAATGGGGGGGGGGGGAGGGGCGCACATACGTTACAATATCAAGGCTACGTAAGCCCTTGCGAAATTGTAAAATTTGGGGTCACGGCACCTAATAATGGGATGAAGGGTGTCAGTTTTTCCCATTTTCAAAAATATGATAGTTACTTCTTAACCAAATAATGGGGTCATTTTTTTTATTTTTCCCAGAAAAGATATGACTCCTCTTTCACCCTGTACCCATTTAATGTTGAGTTTCGGGACACCCTGTATATATGTATATATTGGAGAAAAGCGACCCCATACACCCGCATTCACTCACTCCCTACGAAAAATCTCCGGAACCGACAAAAAAATTTACAGTCTTGAAATATGGTAGGCACGTTTCTTTTGTTGAGTAGCGATCCGCTAAAAACGGGTTATGCGAATTCATCTCCCACAGCGGTATAACTGATGATATTTCCACATTTTAGGTACTATTTATGCACTGAATAACAGATGAACCTGGGAAATACCGGTTTATTCTGCTATATTTATTTGTTTTACTTCGCTATTTTATTTGCTAATTCCTTGAGTCAATTCAAAGTAGTAGAATATATGTAAAAATTTATGATTGGTTTGCATGTTTGAAACAGACTTCATTAGTTCTCTAACAAGGGGGGAAATGGGACTTCTGGAGAGCTTGTAAAGTCCTGTTTGAAAATCAGCTTCAGTTTGTTAGGAGTTAAAAAATAATATAAAAAAAGTTTTAGGTCAACAAAGAAAATTTTTTATTTTATAGTTACTTTTTTTGAATAATTATCATGTGCAGTAAATATAAATATGCATATACAATTAATATAAATATGTATATACATATGACAATCATACTATTAAGTGACAAAATAGAAAGCAATTTTCCTTTATATATATGGTGTTGGACTACCATTTTTTTGTGTTACTGTTTATTCATTCATAAATCACATTCTCAGAAATTAGGTTATCCCAGGTAGGATTCGAGCCAACGAACTTTGGATTAGAAGTCCAACGCGCTATCGATTGCACTACAGGGACACGTTGAGCAATTTCCCTTTTTTATATATAGTGTTGGAAAATTATTATTATAATTTATTCATCAATTAAGTTTAACTAATGAATTTATATTTGAAAAACTGTATTAACATCAAGTGTTATCCATTACAAGTTTTAAAAAATGTATTTGAACTTGAATGGTTGAATAGAAAGTATTTTATTAACGATTGAAAATTTGAAGAAGATACAGTATATATATGTAGGGAGATTGTGAACTATATATAATAGTAGGAATTAAAAAATGGTCCGCACTGAGACGTGCTGAACTCTACTAAGACTACGATTGTGCATCTATGCGATGATTGACTTAATCGATAGTTGACTGCCGAAAAAAGTTGGTCTCAAGAAACAAAGAGTAAAAATCTAAAAAACTATTTTAAAAAATCAAAATTTTAAAAATAACCCTGCGAATTAATGTGATTATTCGTTTGCGCGATCACTAGAGCAATACAGAATGTTGCGGTGTACAGAATCGTGAGGAAAAACGCTTCAGGAGTTGGAGATGAATAAGTAGGAAGTGACAAAAAAACAAAGATAGTTGCCTCTATGCCTACCACACTATGCAGCAACATAAATTCTATTCCTAATCACGTATGCCTTCCAAACAGCCGTTATTTACTTGTAAACAAAAGGGTCAGAGAGTGAAATGAGGCAAAAAGAGAGACTGCATGAGTTATTCTCTCTCTCTCTCTCTCTCTCTCTCTCTCTCTCAAGACTGTAACAACATATTTTTTAGCAATGAATCCATGCCTGCATTTCCCATGGTAATCAGGGTATCCGTGCTTGGTGTGACAAACAAGGCACTTTTTAAACAGATCGCTCGAAATTCGCAGTGAAGTTCAACGCCTTTATCATGATTTATGTTAAGGGTCTTCAGCCCGTGGGCCACGAATGGCTCACTGAAGGCATTTGAGTGGCCCCTCATTTGCCTCAAATGAGGCAATTTAAAAAAATGTTGCCTTGTATGCTTTTTGTCGTAAAAATGTCATTTTTTTGTTGTTCTTGGTAATTAAAGCATTTCACTGATATGCTTGATATCCATTTGACATTAAAAAAAATTTAAACTAACGAATTTTTTAAAAGTTTCACTATATTTTAAATAATTTTAAATATAAAAAAATCTGACTATGTAAAAATTCTCAGAAATTTTCGGAAAACATGTATATAATTAATCATTATATACATGTCTATAATTAATCTTTAACAGGTTTGCGAAGTATTTTAATTCAAGTTCCATTTAACTTTTTTGATACATGTATATATATATATAGTCATAATTTCTCTACAAGAGAGAGATGAATAAACATTTATAAAATCTGAAAAAAATAGAAATTGCAAGTTAACCAGACAATAGGTTTTAGAAAGTATGTATGAAAAAATAAAAATAATAAAATATCAAAATGTAGATGACAGTTACATGCTGACTTACAAACATTGCTGGCTTAGAACAGCTTATATATAAAATAATATATATAGAAGTGGTGTTGAACATGTTTTGTGGCCAGCAATATGTATATATATATATATATAAAGGAGAAAAGCGACTCACTCACTGACTGACTGACTGACTGACTAATCACGAAATCTCTGGAACTATTCAACCTACAGACTTGAAATTTGGTAGACATGTTCCTTTGATAGAGTAGACATCAGCTAAGAAAGGATTTTCCGAAATTCGAAACGCAAGGGGCGTTACGGGGGGTTAAGGGCTTTAATAATAATTGTTTCCATGTTTAAACTACTTGATGTACAATCTTGAAATTGGGTAAGCGGATTCCTTTCAGAGAGTAGAGATCCGCTACAAAATGATTTTGCTGAAAATCGACCCCCAAGCGGCGTTGCAGGGGCTTAGGGGCGTTATAGATAATTATTTCCATTTTTAAACTATTTGACGCACTGTCTTTAAATTTGATATATAGATTCCTTTCGTAGAATAATGATCAGTTATAAAACGGGTTTTGTGAAAACAGACTTCTAAGTGGCGTTGCGGGGGATTAAGGGGCGTAATAGATAAATATATCCGTTTTTAAACTACTTCACCTACCTGCTTGAAAATTGGTAGGTAAGTTTCTTTCCTGGAGTAAATATCCGCTACAAAATGTGTTTGGGGAAAATTGACCCCCAAGGGGTGTTGCGGGGGCGGGGGGTTTAAGGGGCGTTATAAATTTCTATTTTTAAGTTATTAGACGTACAGTCTTGAAACTTAGTAAGCAGATTCCTCTCATAGTGTAGAGATACGCTAAAAATGGGTTTCGTGAAAATTGCCCCCAAGTGGCGTTGAGGGGACTTAAGCGGCGTTATAGATAATTATTTCCATTTTTAAACTATTAAACGCACAGTCTTTATATTTGATAAAGAGATTTCTTTCATAGAGTAGAGATCAGCTATAAGAAGGTTTTGTGAAAACAGACCTCTAAGTGGCGTTGCAGGGGAATAAGTGGCGTAAGAGATAAATATTTTCGTTTTTAAACTACTTGACCTACCTGCTTGAAAATTGGTAGGAATGCTTCTTTCATGGAGTAAATATCCGCTACAAAACGGGTTTGGAGAAAATTGAACCCCAAGGGGTGTTGCGGGGAGTTAAGGGCAGATATAAATAATTATTTCTTTTTTTAAACTATTAGACTCACAGTCTTAAAATTTGGTTAGCAGATTCCTCTCATAGGATAGAAATACACTGCAAAATGTGTTTTGTGAAAATCGAACCCTAGGTGGTGTTGCGGGGTTCAAGGGGCGTTATTGATAATTTTTTTGCATTTTTAATTAATTGGACGCACAGTCTTCAAATTTTGCTAGGCAGATTCCTTTCATAGAGTGCAATCCCCCTACAAAATGGGTTTTGTGAAAACAGACCAAGAATTGGCGTTGCGGGGCTCAAGTGGCGTTATAGACAATTATTCCCATTTTTAAACTGTTCAACGTACAGTCTTGAAATTCGATAAGCAGATTCCTTTCGTAAAGTAGAGAACCGCTACAAAATGGGTTTCGCGAATATCAACTACCAAGTTTAATTTCGGGAGATTAAGAGGCGTAATCGATAAATATTTCCATTTTTAAACTACTTGATCATCCTGCTTGAAAATTGGTAGGCATGTTCCTTTCATGAAATAGAGTTCCTCTAACAAAGAGTAAAATGAAAATTGACCCCCAAAGATGTTTGCGAGGGGTCAAGAGGAGTTACAGAAAAAAATTCCTGTTTTTAATTGTTAGACCCATATACTTGAAATTTGTTAAGAATGTTTCTTTTGTTGAATAGGGATCCACTAAGAATAAATTTTAAGCAAATCAAGTTCTGGGGGTTGCAGGGGGTTACTGGAACGTATTGACAAAAAAAATTACTTTTTTTGAGCTACAAGGACTATAATAATGAAATTTGGTTTGCATTTTTCTTTTGTTGAATTGAAATCCGCTAAGAGCGGTAATTTTGGAAAACGGCTCTCAACGGGAATTACGGGGATATTTATAGCAAAACTTTTGCTTTTTTCTGTTAGATTTAGACTTTTGAAATTTGCTTGCATGTTCAATTTACGGAGTAGAGATCCACCGAAAATTGGTTTTGCGGGAATCCACTTGGTTTTTGGGTTACGAAAGAGCAAACATCATTCTATGCTTCAATTTTAGAGATTTTTAGAAAATACAAATTAGATGAGTTCTGCCCTTTTTTTTTATCAACAGGTGACAGTTACAGGTATAAGTATATTTTTCAATTGAATCGAATTCTTAATGCTAGGATATCAATAATTTATACATATATATAAGTAGTAAAAATTTATAAAACATCATGAAATACCCAGCGAAGCGGGCGGGTAACAGCTAGTATATATATATACTCGTATATATACACACAAATCTGTAAACACCATTTCTTCCCTTAGATTCAGTTGTAGTCTTGTAAAACAAACCTCCCTTTTTTATATAAATGTCTTGACTACAATAGACAGCTATGACTCGCGGATCACTGTGAATTTATTAGTGTGACTCGCGAATCAATGTAAATTTATTAATTTGGCCCTTGAGCGTAAAGGAGGCTTGGAGGGAGAAATATCCTCAGGTTTTAAAATAAATTGAATTGGTAGAAAGCGAGAAATCCCTGTTTGAGCAACTGTCAGCAAAAATGAGTGAAAAAAATCACTGCATTGCACGCCATATCCTGTACGTGACATTATTAAGGCCGATTAAGAGGTCACTAGTTATTCACATTATCCTCATTTAAATTTTGTACCATTTTCTATTATATATTTCAAACTGCAGTAACAATTATTGAATTTTTTTTTTATTCTTTGAAAAAATTCGTTGTAAAAACCTTTAAAATATTATACGATTTTTTTTAATGTTGTATTTATCGACAAAATATATAGAGCATGATACAATACTTTAAAACTCCCAAGTATACTTATTTCTACAGAAATGAATGCAAATATCAATGTACTTCATTTATTTTTCCCTATTGTACACTGGAGTTGTAATTTAAAAAATTCAATTTTTTACTCCATCCCACAGAAAAAGAGAGTTTTATGTAATTTTTCTCAAGTTAATGTTTTGATCAATTCTCTTCTTAGTGTTTGTGGTTTATCAAAAACAATATCAAGAAAATATGTACATTTAGTAACATTTAAGGCATCTAGATTAAGGTTTCAGAACCCTTTTTGACTATTTTATGGGTAGTGATGTACACAAGAGTGAGGAGTTCAACCCTAGGAGCACCCATAGAGATCAGGCCTCGGGGTTTTCAACTGCGCGTTTTTTTAGATTGCCCCTCTCCCTTTTGTGAGAGAGGTCTGGATACGCTATTGATTGAACATTTTAATTGAATTCTTTATTTATTAACTAATAAGGTGGTATTCAAATCTTTCATACTTAAAAGTGTGCTTGATGACCTCGAGGACTTAATAATATGCTTATTTCAAAATTCTTTAGTTTCAATCCTTCTTAGAGGGCATGAAGCGCCTGCCACCTGCGAAAATTGTACACATATATTATAG